TGACCATTCAGCAAAAAAAGGTGAAATCTTTCAAAACGAAAATCCAATCCACAAACATCATTTTCCGTCGATCTTCGGGACCAAAATCGCTTGAATGCACACCTTTTTCTCCTCAAAACCTAACTGAAGGCTTAGTTTACGGCTAGGAAGGTTCAGAAATATTCGAAAAAATAAGCTTTTTTGAATTTTCCTGACCATTCAGCAAAAAAAAGATGAAATCTTTCAAAACGAAAATCCAATCCACAAACATCATTTTCCGTCGATCTTCGGGACCAAAATCGCTTGAATGTACACCTTTTTCTCCTCAAAACTTAACTGAAGGCTCAGTTTACGGCTAGGAAGGTTCAGAAATATTCGAAAAAATAAGCTTTTTTGAATTTTCCTGACCATTCAGCAAAAAAAAGATGAAATCTTTCAAAACGAAAATCCAATCCACAAACATCATTTTCCGTCGGCCTTCGGGACCAAAATCGCTTGAATGCACTCGTATCTCTCTTCAAGACCTGGATGAAGGCTCAGCTCCCCGTTAGGAAGGTTCAGAAATATTTGAAAAATTAAGCTTTTTTGAATTTCGCTGACCATTCAGCAAAAAAAAGATGAAATCTTTCAAAACGAAACTACAATCCACAAATATCATTTTCTGCCGCCCTTTGGGGCCAAAATCAATTTTGAAGGCTCGCGAGCTCAGGTTCCCCTCAAAACCTGGCTGAAGGCTCAGTTTGCGGCCAGGATGGTTCAGCAATATTAGAAAAAATGAGCTTTTTTGGAATTTTCCTAACCACTCGGCAAAAAAAAGATGAAATCTTTCAAAACGAATTTACAATCCACAAGTATCATTTTCTGCCGGCCTTTGGGGCCAAAATCAATTTTGAAGGCTCGCGAGCTCAGGCTCCCCTCAAAACCTGGCTGAAGGCTGAGTTTGCGGCCAGGATGGTTCAGCAATATTAGAAAAAATGAGCTTTTTTGAATTTCGCTGACCATTCAGCAAAAAAAAGATGAAACCTTTGGAAACGAAACTCCAATCCACAAATCTCATTTTCCGTCGGCCTTCGGGACCAAATTCAGTTGAATGCAACCCTATCTCCCCTCAAAACCTGACTGAAGGCTCAGTCTGAAGCCAGAAATGTTCAGCAATATTCAAAAACGAGTTTTTTTTTGCGTATTTCTCTGACCTTTTAGCGAAAAGGGGATGGAAAGTTACGTGATGAGGCTCCATTACATAAAACCTTGAATTTTGATCAACTTTAACACCCTCGAAAAATTTGCTTGAATGCTCAGTTTATCGCAGAAAAACAAAATTAGATTGTCAGCATTATCCCAAGGTTTTTCGTGGTTATGGGATTTGAGCGGGAAAGAGAATGAAACTTTCAAAATGAGGCCCCACTTCAGAGAACGTCGATTTTTGCCGCCCGTCCGGACCAAAATTATTTGAATGCTCATCTTTCGCCGGAGAAGTCAATTTTTTAGCATAGTTGTACTGTAAGGCAGCGTTAGTGGGTATTTTGCTGATACTTGTGCGGAAGGCTCTACTCCACAGAAAGTTAACTGTTTGTGAGGAAATGTCACATGAAGAGTCAAATAAAAGCCGTGAGCTCCATATAAGTAATAAAATACTGCTTGCATATGTGCACGACAGTACAGAATGACTCAAACGATCAATAACTTTCTTCATACCCCATCGGCGACAGCCACTGTGACAGAAACACAACAACAATCTCTCGCCCAGATTAATGACTACCTATATACCGCATATAGGTTATCGGTAATTCTGAAATGGAATGTTTTTGTGATCAGCCTTCACACATGCACCCCTGTGCCAAATGGTAGCCGCTTAGCTCAATGTTGAAAAATGTTCGCTCCGCCCGGGACCCATAGTGCAAGCAAATCCCTCGCTGACATAATGGCTTCTGGCCTCTCCTCTCGCCATCATTGAGCGCCGTTATATTTTCCCATTCCTTTTTCTGGAATCCTTCAGCAACTGGACCCTCCTACGTTCATGGGGTTAAGGATAGGAGGGACGCAGAAAACTCTGCCGTCGCGCTTGGAAGGATCGAGTGTATATTATAGTAGGGATGTATGGTAGCTCTGGAAAGATTAAATCAAGGAAAATCGGAGAAAAGACTTGCTTTGCTCGAAAACCAATTTTTAAGTGGTGAATTGGTGCAAGAAAGCAAAAAAGCCAGATTTTTGTCCATTTCGAAAAATTACCACAAATACCAATTGGAATTTGAAAAGTGATTGAATGATTACGAACACATACGATTTTGATATTTCCAACCATTTGCATGACCATAAATAATCAAATTCAGGTAATCCGGATAACAAATACTGAGCTCCGGTAGACGCAGAGAAATTTTCACACTTTTAGCTATAAAAATTCCCAACGCAGACCAAAATTTAATGTGATTTGTGAGTGTAAGTGAAAGAAGACACTACACATTTATGTAAGTCGTAATATCCAGCACAGTCAAAATTACGACGTGAAATTTACAAAACAAATCACTACAGTAAGGAAGAGAGGAACTTTGAAAAAATTACGATACAATTGGCCCATACATTCCCTTCAAAAAGAGATCCATCTTAGCTTTACTCCAATGGCTAACAAAAGCTTTTTTCTTGTAACGCCCATAATCGATCATTGTAAGCATATAGTAACCGTAGATGTCATTGCACTCATCGATTATGGGCGACAGAAGAAAAAAACGAAAAAATTCGACGTGAAATGAGGCAATACACTTAGAATATTGCGAGAAATGAGCGTGCGGCATCACCTCGCTTCACGCTAGCCGGCACTCACGATATGCGCCAGTCCGGGCTCCTGACGCACACGGACACCGCACATCGTGTAGTTACACGATCTTGCGCACCCATTCATACATCGCGTGCCCCTCGGCAGATCGTGTGCTGGTTCAAGATCGTGTAATTGCCAGATCTCGAACCAGCACACGATCCTGAGATTGATACATAGCACCCCAGGGGTAGCATGAGCTGTGGAGGGGGCTATATATCAACATAAAAAAGGCCACGTCGACTTAACATGCTTCCCATGTGCATAAGTTGACAGGATCTCATACAAATCGACCCTAAACCAAAGCCATCACATGCAGCATATATGATTATGAAGCATAAACAGACAGAGAGAGAAAAGAGCAAAAACGTTTGCTCTCTGATGTTCAACTGCTCGTAGAAATATTCGACGCGTCTATTTTTGATAGCTATGCGTCGCATCTCAAAGCAATGATTTTCCAAGTAGTCTTTCTCCATACCAGATCATCATAATGAGCGAAAGCTGCAAAATATCAATATCAGAAGCTTGATAAATAAATAGTAACAAGAAGAGTTGCCTAATCCGCACCGTCACGAAAGTGGCAAGTTATACGTTTACATTCTAAAGGAGGCTCTCTCATTATCAAATGTACGTATTTGTTTTGTTGCAAAAAAGTTTTCTTACAAATGATGATTGGCGCATGTACCTGAGGAGCAAGTAAATTCGATTGCCGATCGTACGATGAGAGAAGCAGACAAGGATGGTGACGGGTGCATATTGCTGAGTTTTCTCGTTTAAGTTACCTATTCTGCTCCTAGACGAGAACTTTCACGGATAACTAACCTCGATTCAGTTGAGTATTTGTTATTTGAGTATCGACGAGATCTCAGGCTTAAAAGCTTTTGAAACTATCATTTGAGCTTTTAGTACCATTGAACTACTGGAATCTAAGGTTTGCATATTCATAGGTGCATGGATGGATTTTCAGGCAATGGAGAAGACGGATATCGAACAAAAGATGTCTTTCCGCTTTCTGACGTGAAGACCGTACTTCTGATAAAAAAGAATTGTCTCGTATGAACAGAAGCACTGCAACTAATAAATGTTAAGATTGTAGTTTTCCATAGCAGTGAACTGATACGATTCAATTACGAACTGCTATTTGGTGAGCGGTTACACTACAGTTGTATTATCCTTTATTGATCTTTTCCTTACCACCAACAGCACTTAGATAGAGATACTACAAGCATATTATAAAGTTTGAATTTAAGCAATATTTCTAAAAGGCACGTTCCAGAAACATGCTGGTTTTGATTTTTTTTTAATCCTCGCATGGGTCACGCTGATGCAGGTCTGCTTTTTTTTCAATTGTCTCCATGCTTCCCTATGTAAGACAAGGTCTTCATCTGTTGGAAGCTCTTGCAGGTCGGCTTTGATACTGTCCATCCATCTCATCTTGAGTCTATTATAAGTTGTTTTGCCTGGTGCTTCCACCGTAAAGGGTAGCCTCGCAATGTGCTTTTCTTCATTCTGTGCACTCGGCTGTACCATCGTTATCTCTTTTTCCTGCATTTTCTCGGCAATTGGAGCTACTATTACTTGGGCTCGTATAGTGTCATTGCAGATGTGTTCCTTCAGTGTGACTCCTAAGGTCCACAGCATCCTTGTTTCCATGACATTGACCTTACGCTCCTCATTCCGCATACATGGCCAGCACTTAACATAGAGTGCTGCTGAACAATTCGGTACAGTTGGGACTTGAGCTGTAGCGACATTCGTCTGTCGCAAAGAAATCGTTTAAGTCTCTTCATTTCATCCACGCTGTGTTTATCCTGCCTACGACTTCCTCTTGTAAACCTTTCTCTGCTGAGATTGTTGCCTAAGTACTGGTATGTCGTTGTCTCAGCAACATGCAGGTGTATCCAATGTGAGGATCAAATTACATGTGCTTACAAGATTTGATCAAAAAGTACGGTCTCGAAATGAGTCTTATGCTGCTTAGCGAGCCTCAGAATCTTAGCGAGGTTGCGGCTGTTGCTTTACAGCTTTGAATTTTCGGTATGGTAAGCCGCAGGTCAAGTACTTTCTCTGCTTGCGCGTTTTTCATTTCTTTAATCTAGTATCATGATTAACGGGAGTTAAGAGAACGACTTTATTGCAACAGAAACAACGTAGCTATTTGAGTGTTAAGTGTTTTGAGCATTTCTTGATAAACTGTGCAAATGAATGCTTTTCACTGCTCTTTCTCTTTACTCTGCTTTTCCTCATCGTCCTTTCCTGTCTTCTTTTGCATTCCAAGCATTGAATCCGTAACTCTTTCCACAGTGTTGTTGTTATTCACCTCCAGTGTTGGCTCGGTCCCAAAAATGTTGAAGGGGAAAAGACTGCTCAACTAAAATGTTTTAGCATAGTATTATTGGGAAATTTTAACGAAATTTGCAATTTTGATTTCGCTCATCGTAAGCAGGTAAAAGTACTCACCGACTGCTTCACATCTGGGAACGCAGCAGGATTCGTCAGGCATTCACGAGCATTGACGAATACTTGCTAGAATGTAATGATGTGAAAAATCATATTCAGCGCTAAATTACTGTAGTTTCATACCCTTAATAGTGGCCCAGAACTGATGATTCTTGTCGCCACTTCGCCGACAGCTTGGGGTGTCGTGAATTCAGTATTTGCTAAAGAAATCATTCTTAGTTGGTTTGTTTCTTTGTCAAGAATTGCACCTACGATTTTCCTGCTCTTGATCACGATGGATGGCTCTCACAGCTCCTAGTATTTCAAAAAACACTCTTACGCCGTTCTGAAAGACTACTTACAATTGGAAGAGCACGTTGGGTGTTTGATCGAAGCCTCTTATAACCCAAAAGGAATTTAAGCTAACCATTTGTTTTGCGGAACATTCCAAATACCTCATAGCATGCATAGAGTTCTTCAACATGTTCTCGTATATCGGGGCGACTTTCTAGATTATTTATTGATGCTGAGCACGAAAGCTCGCAAAATACTTCTTACCAAAACTAACGGCACTTGCGAAAAGTACAGATTAATTTTTGAGTACCACTAAAATTTATACTGTAACGGGTCTTACAGAAACTTTGGAAAACGATACCAAAAACTTACAAACGTTTGTATCCGTCTTAAGATAGTCATAGCTTCGTTATCAAACAACAGCATTACGGCTTGTGCATTATGAGCATCATCAGAAGATAAATCATCGGTATGTAGCTCGACCATCTGTAGTAGCTTAAAATGAATAAAATGCTATTTTTGAATACCCTTCAAATTTGTTGGAAAATTGTTACTACACCTTTTGACACCCTTAATCTAGACAAAGCCTCTAATTCTTTCTGTTATGAGTTGTTGCCCCACCCATCACTCTATAAAACATTGATTAATTTCAACCACGCTCCGGCAAATGCCCAGCCTGGGCATTGCTTTGGGAGGAAAGCGAAGGAGGGTATAGTACTTAATTATTTTCTGTTCAAAAAACACGAGCAGCTTTGCATACTTCCGATTAGCAAGTTTGAGAGTGTGTTTTAACGCGCTTTGGTAACGTACTATTGAGAATTCCAGAAAGAAGATGTACAAACTTGCGTTGTTCAAAAAGCTCGAACATGTTTTTCCAAATTCTCAAAAATATTAGGTCGGTGCAAAAGTTTTGTTAGTTTTTTCAATCCATCGGCAAAGACGCTAGAATAAACATAAACAAACGCTCCAAAATGTATCCGATGCAAAATTTCTTCATCTTTTTAGCTTCCAAACTCCCATTGTGTCTCGTTGAGGAAGCGCTGAGATAATCGCTGAAAATTGCAACCATTCGTTTTTACCATGTCCAACTTTCACTAATTTTCAAAGTTTTTGTACGAGACTTTCGGGGGAGTCCTAATAACCAGCAAATAGAGCAAACCTTTTGCTAACAGAATCAATTTTTTGTAGCCCTTCGGCTTGTCTTCCAGAATTTTTACGATTTATTTTTTGATGACCAAATTTTACATTCAGCCTATTCTGACTTCGTATAACATGAAATGGTAAACACTTCAAGTACCATTCGATGCAACTTTTTCTCCTCTCTCTAACAGCTATCTTCTCTTGGCGAGACAGGAGAAATTGCAGGAAAATTTGCAATATTTCTTTATTTTACGAGTACGCACTGTCGCACCCCATGCTTCCAAATCTCCATAATTCGAAGCGAAAATCGTTCATCTACTTTGTAGTGGTGTCGGTAGTATGTTGTGAGTAATAAGCCAATCGAGGTTAGTATTTATTAGTAAGTGGCGGCCTAACGTTTCGAGCTATTCGTCTTCTTCAGAGGCCTAAAGTGGTAAGAGATTTATGATTTTATGTCTATCCCACCAGAAACCTCCTCCATCTCCGGCTAGCCTCGACGTTGCCCCAGAATGCTACAAACAAAAATTCCATAACGTGAAAGACGAACCAACCTCCTCCACCGCCGGCCAGGGCTCGGCACGAGGTGGCTAGTTGAAAATGCAAAAAAACGAAACTCCCCTTGACTTTTGCGAATTTTTACGAAGTCCCCTTTGAGCCTAGACCAGGGCTCGGCACGAGGTGGCGTCCCGAAATTGCAAAAAATGAAGTCCCCTTCGACTTCAATGAAATTACGACATCCGTCACGTGATATTCGAAGAGAAAATACACAAAAAGGAACGGAACAAAGCAACAGTAAAAAACGAAAAAGAATCATCGAACACACGCAATGCTATTCATATTCTCCGGATTGGCGGCATGATGTATCCATCGTGCAGCAATACGCGCCTAGAGCAGCCTTTCCGCCGCCATTCAAAATTTTCAAGGGGCTATAACTAAGCAAGGAGAAGGGGGTTTGAGGCGGTTTAGGAACCAGTTTGTAGGGTTTGGGATGTAGATGAAAAGTATGTAGAGAAAGTAGAAAAATTATGTGAGTGAGGAAAAATTCATGACTTTTTCTTTCCTAAGCCACCTCAGGTGGCTATCCAGGTGGCTTGAAAGCCACCTAACTCCGAAAAAAGTTGAGCACGCCTTTAGTTCACATAATTTTTTCATAATTTTTCATACTTAGTCTCAACTCCCCATTGCCCATCTACACACCTATTTTGGTGTCATTTCATCTTCACTTCGCTGTAAACAAACCTTATGTTTATTTGCTGGCGGCATGCCGGCAGCGTGCCGGTCGCAGATCGAAAGACAACGTTATGCTCTTCCGCAAAAACGATATCCCCTTTGCTTTTTCCCCAAAAACGATATCCAGCTTGCTTGCTAAGCTACCTGTGCCGTGCCCTGCCGCCGGTGCGCAGATGTTGAAAGCGGCCGTCCTTCAGTGCCACTGATACCAATAATGGAATACACTGTACACCATATTCGAACTAATCAGTAATCTTTCAACTCACATAACGTCACGAATGGCATAAAGTCATTTGTGATTGACATACACTCATTTCGGCTGTTCATGCTAGGATTTCTTGCGAAAATCCAGAACGCCTCGAGAGCTTTTCTAATGGCAGTATCGTATTCGTATGCCAGTATTACACATCTGATCTCGAAGTCCTTACCACCGTGGACTTCAACTTTATGTTTACCGAGAGGAGTGGTAAGGCTTCCTCGCCTTTTGCTGGCAAGATGTTCTTCTAACCTAACTCCCAGCGGTAGTAATAAAATGTGTCGGTAGTAATAATCGAATGTTGCAGCCTCAGTTTTCTGTAGGTTTTGCAGTGTTTGGTGCAATAATAGGTTATGCGATTTTTCCAAAACACAAGACTTTTAGAAAATTATTCAGAAAAATCTGAAAAAGCAGCTGAAATAAGAAAAAAATTGCTTCTGTTAGCAAAAGTTGCCCTGTCTGCTGGTTATTAGGGCTCCTCCGAAAATCTCATACAAAAGCTTTGAAAATTAGTGAAAGTTGGACATGGTAAAAACGAATGGTTGCAACTTCCAGCGAACTTCTCAGCATTCTTTCAATTAAACACAATGGGAGTTTAGCAGCTGGAAAGAGGAAGAAATTCTGCATCGGGTACATTTTGAAGCGTTTGTTTACTTTCATTTTAGCGTGTTTGCCGATGGACTGAAAAAACTGACAAAACTTTTGCACCGACCTGATAATTTACTGAAACACATTGAAACACGCTCTTAAAGGCAGCGTCCAGGCAGATTCTCGCTTCTATATGTTTATGTTATCCAGGCCTTTCCATGACGCTGATTCCGAGTATGGAACTCAAAGCGTGAATTTTTTAGTAAACCACCTTTTGGGGCTATTTTGGGAAAACCCGGACGAGTGCTTCTGATGTTATCCTTGTCGAAAGCAAGTATTAACAGGTAAACGCTGTAAGTTCGACTGTGAAGGTCACGTGAAAACACGTCAAGGCTGAGGAGATTTCGTTCGTAAGGGGTTGGCCCTCCGAGCGAAGGGGGCATGGTCGTCGATCTACCTGGACGCTGCCTTTAAACTCGTTAATCAGCCGTACGCAAAGCGTACAAGTTTCTACAAGACTGATGTGCTCAAACAACTTTGCTTAGGCACGCCTTTCAAACCTAACTAAACAGGTGGAAATTGAGAGCATGACTTGTTTGCAAAGCATAGTTGAAGTTATGGTTCCAAATTTAGAGTGTATATGTGCCGTGGCGATAAAACTAGAGTAAAATAACCCAAAAAAATTATGTAGGAAGCGTAACCAATTTTTTTCAAACCGGAGTGTCTCATGCTGGTCCTGATTATGGCTTCTTGCCAAATTAAAATTACAATCATATCCGCTGAAGTTGCATTGGGGTAAATCATAATCTATGCGTACTGCGTGTTTCATATCTTTCTGCAATCCCTATGGCTGATATTTTATGCTCCATCTACCGTCTGGACTGCAACTGCAACTCTATTTCCTTATGCGGCATCAACTGTATCAGCATCAACATCAACATTCTCATACGTGCGATGTAGTCCTACATCTGTTTTGCCATATTCGAGCGAACACGGCCACTGAGATTCGTCTTTCTACATATACTATTTCTTTCTGCATTTCTTAGGCTTTGGCCATACTTTGCCTGTGTTGCCCATGTTGCCTGTGTTCTCTTGTTGACGATGTTGCTGATGTTGCCTTTGTTTCTCGTGTTGCCGGTGTTGCCATGTTGCCGGTGTTGCTCATGTTGCCGATGTTGCCGGTGGCGTTGCTCATGTTGCTCATGTTGCCGATGTTGCCGGTGGTGTTGCTCATGTTGCTGGTGTTGCCGACGTTGCTGGTGTTGCTCGTGTTGCTCATGTTCCCAGTGTTACCGCTCAAAGGCGGTGGCGCTGGGGGCATGGGTGGCGCGGGTGGCACTGGTGGCATCGGCGGCGCCGGTGACGTGGGTGGCACTGGCGGTGTCGACAACACCGGCAGGGTATGGCCAAGGCCTTATAACCCATATCAAGCCACCATGTTAGTGCAGGCCTGAACAACAATCTTCCTTTTCCCAACCTTTAATGCTTGCTGACTTGCTCTAGTTGAGTTATTAACGCGGAATTTTGTTGATTTTCTCTCGGAGCATTGGTCTCTCCCCGGAATTCTTTTGGGCAAGGTTTTTCTGCTACTCTACTGACCAAGCCCGCTTTGCTTACTTTGGCATTTCGAGAGCACTTTGCTAGCGTACGAGTATGAAGGATCACCACCTCCACAACTTGCAACAACCTATTGATCTTCTCGATTAGAATGTTCCATTACAACACTTCTTATTAATCAAGTATTCTCGAGTAACTGACTCTTCCTATTAGCCTCATGCGGTGGGAGTATATCCACCATGCAATCCTGAGTTAGATAGTTTATCTCAGGGACGTTTTGCTGGCAGTAATGGGGGCATAGGTACCATCTCCATGATCACATCTTTATGACAATTGTAGTCCAGAGCAGTCACATGCAAGCTCTATCAAACATACTTCTCAACCAATTTAAAGGTATGGACCCAACGGCACGGTGGACCTTGACTGGGGCTGTTCGATTTACTGTGTGTGTATTTTTTTTCTCTTGTTCTTTTTGTAAGGAACGCCATAGAGCGTATGAATAAATAAATAAATAAATAAATAAAAATTACTACAATCCCCGTTGTCTGTGTTACAGTTTATAGTAGTTATCTTGAAGGTTTGAGAACATCATAATTTTTTGACAGAAACACCATCTTATGAAAGGTCCTTTTCTTTTCTAAAGTGGTCCTCTTTTTTCTTCTCATTACACAAAAAGTAGACTTCTGACCCGCACTTTCTCGCATCTTAGTTGTGG